TTTTTTTTTTGGTGGAACCAGGGATTGAAACTCAGGCCCTTACTCTTGCCAGGAAAGCACTTATTCCACTGAGCCATCTCCCTGGCCCTACAAAATTTATTTTTGATATAAATTTATTCCTATAACAATTTAAGTAAGCGATCATGATATACAGTCTTGGTACTGTTTTGATCAAAATTTCGATATTCCTTGAAACTTGGTAAGAAGGTAATCTTAAAATATTTTATATGACATTGTTAAGGTTATAAGTGACTATTTGTCTTCTCCAAAATTATCTTCAATGTTTTAATATTGTATTTTGAGAACACTAAACTATTTAGTTGGTAAAGATAATCTTAATAAATTTGTTAGGGAGTGAGTTATATAGTAACACACGTAAACCAACAACTTATATGCATTTATTTTTCCAGTATGATGGTGAAATTAGAGTTCTATATTCAACCAAGGTTTCATCTTCCTTAACTTCTAAGAAGTGGGGGACTAGAGATCTACAGGTAAAACCTGGTGAAGCTCTTGAAGTTATACAAGACACAGATGATACAAAAGTTCTCTGCAGGAATGAAGAAGGAAAATGTAAGTCACTGCAATGCTTCGCACAAAGGGCACTTGAGAATTTGAACCACCAAACACGTTTTAGTGATCGCTCTGTTTGTACTAGCTTACCTCTGTTAATGGTTTGTGAGTTGCAGAAAATGTGGAGAAACTAGAGATGGAGCTCAGAGATAAAACTCTAGGAATCAGCAGGAAACCTTAGCCATAATTTCGAGCCTGGCATGTTCATGTGTACATTAAACTGAGAACCACTTGCCAACATAGTGAGTGACTTGCTCTGCCGAGTTATGAAATAGTATAACATATTTAAAATCTGGAACTTAGAGCTTTCCTGTTGTGCTAATTTCATTCATTTTTATTTCCTTTGGACACACCTAATGCAGCATCCTGCTCCAAATAAGTACAAGACGGTCCCTGTCCTCTGTGAGTTTATCAGCTACTAAAGCTGGCAGATGGAAATATTTTTGTTAATTTTTAAAAGGAAATTTACTTGAAATTCAGGGAAGGATAACTCCAAGCTAGGTTGTCCTGTGTTTGAAATTGGATAGCCAGCATGGTTAATCTGTGTGGAAAACATGGACTCTGCTTTTAATTTTAATGGGAGGAAGGTGACTCAGGGACAAGAACTGAAGTTCTTGTAGAGTTTCAAGAATAAAACACAGTGACTCAAAGGTGGAGAACATGGATCTAAAGTCACCACAAAAGAGGTGTGATTGGCTTTTCAATGAGTAATGTGGAATGTTGGTATAACAGCGAGAGGCAAGAACAGGAAGAACATGATATTAAGATCTGAAGCTCACTGACTAGAAATAATGTACAGCTAGAGCCACTGGGAACAAAAGAAGACAGACAGACAGACAGATGACAGACAGACAGAAAAAGGGAAGGGAAGGGAAGGGAAGGGAAGGGAAGAAAAGGGAAGGGTTGGGAAGGGAAGGGAAGGAAAGAAGGGGAAAAAAGTCAGTCTAGCATTTGTGATAATTTACACTAAGAAATAGTCCTAAAAGTAGAAAAAGCCACTGCATCAAATTGTCATCAATATATTAAAAGTTCAAAACTTTTAAGTGATTAAATATCATATTGGGTAAATCCAACTGAATATTTTAAATGATT